GCATTGCCGTTTGTTTCAAGAAAAATAAATAATTTGAAAAATTTTCTTCCTAAAAGTGACTGATTATATTGTTTACGAAAATAAATGAACGAAAAATATTTTCATTGTTCATGAATATGTTATAATGATAATTTTTTTATATCGACTACTTATTTTAAGCTATACAAGCGATCATTTTACGGAGCATTGAAAGTTTGTACGCATGAAATGAGCGAATTTAGAGTGTAAGGGTCCATTTGTTTGAACGAAAAATGTTTTCGAGCAATTATTTTTCAAATTTTCAATGTTTAAATGACAAAAAATTAATCGATCTACTGGAAATGTTTTCTATAGACTGAAAATAACAAGCTTAGATTGGGGGAAAACAACTTCCCCTTCTAACAATAAAGATATCGCTTTCCCTAAACTACCAAATAAATGAAAACTAACCATTTTCCTTGAAATTGAATTCCATGGAAAATATATGAAAAAGTTTCAATGAAACAACACACCCATGAACACAACTATTTGTTATTGGTCCGAATCATGAACAGTCGTTATGGACAAACTGCTCCCTTTTTGCACCGGGCCTACCCAGCAAGGCCGCTCAAGCCGGACCTTTCTAAGAAGAAAGATGTAATTTCTACGGACATGGTAGGTTCAATGATAGTTACACCCGATGACCGACTCAGCTCTCTCATCAATCAATTTCGAGCGTTTCTGAAGGCGATTTCAAAAGAGCGCACAAACATGAGAACGCGTGTGTCTCTATCGGTCGGGTCGAGATCTGAGTCGATTTCGGATACGATCGAGTGTTGGCGCGGCTATCGCGTTGACTTGGGACCTGTGTGGTACAACACAAGGTCCTCTAGCTGTTGCTTCGGGGGCGTAGGGCCATGCATTGCCCTGTGGCTCAGGCCTTGTCTGTCCTTATCTAAGTTCATTTGGGAGTTGCCGACCTCCTTCGATAAATGCAAGTTCAGCATCATCCTAAGAAAATCTGCCATTTCTTTCCCAAGAGACAAATGAAAGATCTGTGTCATTTGATTTGATATGAGTCGTAAGAAGACGACATATTGCGTGTAAAGATATGGTGAAGAAATCTTGAATTAATATAGAACAGAACACTGCGTAAAGATTTTGATCCATATTCATCGTAAAGGAGGAGACGATGGATATATAGAATGCTCGATGATTATTCGGACTTCGAATTTAGAAGGTCGTGAAACATCGATTACTTATTCATAATCTTGATTATTGGAGATTACTATATTGAATTTAAAATCAAAAAGTATGTTGGGTTTGAAAAAATTTCAGAAGAAGGCCCGAAGTGCACTCATTTTCTTAAGAAGTATTCAAAGTGAACTTTATTTCAAATAAGGATATGAAATTGTCACTTAATCTCAAATAAGGGTCTATATCTTCGCCAGCCGTCAATTAGACCCGGGGTAATTTTGTCGGTTGCAATTTCTTTTTGTTTTCTTTTTTTCTTTTTGTTGTCTTTAATTTCTTTTCTTTTTTTTTTCTTTTTTTTTTGTTTCTTCATCTTCTCTTGGGCTCATTCTCTCCTATCGAGTCACGATTTGCGAAGTTAAAAACAGTTCATAAGAGAGAGAGTCATCTCACCATTCTTTAAGAGCTATATTCTTGCATGTACGTTTTGTAGAAACCTGGGATTTTCAGCGAGCACTATCCATCTTCTTTGTGTTAGCAAATAGAGGGGAGTCAATATCCTAAAATTTAATGTAAGCAAAGTTTAGAGAATTTCAGTGAATGCATTATCACTTCGAAGAGAGGGGAGTCAATATCACTCTAAATTTTTTTTCAATAGCTAATGGGTTGCCTCTCTGACACAGCTACTCTACGGTTTGAGGGATGTCAACCGTTTAGTTTGGTTTGGTTTCTGTGATGCCCGAACCAAAGCGAAAAGACTGTAGTCGCAGGATTGGCTCAACGACAAAAACAAGAAGGAAAACAAAAGGCATAAACAAATATGCAAGGAAGGCGAAATCGAACTTGTAAGAGTTGTACCGTGAGTCTGTGACAAGTTCAAAATAAGAGAATACGCTCACTCGAGTACACTGTGGACACTAAGATCCGACTGAGGTCGTGTTGGAGGGGATTGGTGACGAAGAGCCTCGTTGCTTGAGCAGAGGAAAGAAGCAAACGAGATTCACGAGCTGAAAACCCTAGGTAGATGACAGGGGTTTGCGAAGAAGAAATGACAGAGAGACGGTGAAGAGAGAGAGTTGGGTTTGGGGAGGGAGTCACGGTACCCACTTGCCTTCCCCTTGATCTCAGGTGCCTAGGTCGAAGAGAAGAAAACAAAAGGAAGAGAAAAAAGAAAACAAAAGAAAAATCACAATGGATGAGTTGGCGCTGGCCTAATCGCAGGCCGGCGAAGATTTGGCTGACCGGTGTATGCGGACCCTTACCTGAGACTAAATGGCCACTTCGAACCTTTATTTGAAATAAAATCCAATTTAGACGATTTTTTTTAGAAAATAAGTACACTTCAAATCTTTATTTGAATTTTTTTCCCATCATGTTTTTATGACTTTTTCAAATGAAAGTTTGAGAAATTACTAACCCTTCTTAGGACAAAACGGTCGTGGACCGTTATATACTCACGTTCTACTCGGGCCTTCGACATGTTCTCGGAGGCCCGGCCTGGGCCCGTGACCCGATGCCCCTTCCCGCGGTTCATCAAACATCAGGACATCTTTTGACGACGACGAAAGATATCACTTTTCCTAAACCACCAAATAAATGAAAACTAACAATTTTCCTTGAAATTGATTTTCATGGAAAATAAATGAAAAAGTTTCAATCAAACAACGCACCTATGAACACAACTATTTGTTATCGGTCTGAATCGCGAATAGTCGTTATGGACAAACTGCTCCCTTTTTGCACCAAGGCCGCTCAAGCCCGACCTTTTTAAGAAGAAAGATGTAATTTCTACGAACAGGGTAGGTTCAATGATAGTTACACCCGATGTCTGACTTAGCTCTCTCATCAATCAATTACGAGCATTTCTTAAGGCGATTTCAAAAGAGCGCACAAACATGATAACGCGTGTCTTTATTGGTCGGGTCGAGATCCGAGTCGTTTTCGGATACGATCGAGTGTTGGCCCGGCTGTCTCATCGACTCGGGACCTGTGTGGTACAACACAAGGTCCTCTAGCTGTTGCTTCCGGGGCGTAGGGCCATGCATTGCCCAGTGGCTCAGCCCTTGTCTGTCCCTATCTAAATTCATTTGCGAGTTGCCGACCTCCTTCGATAAATGCAAGCTCAGCATCATCCTAAGAAAATCTGCCATTTTCTTCCCAAAGGACAAATGAAAGATCCGTGTCATTTGATTTGATAAGAGTCGTAAGAAGACAACATATTGCGTGTAAAGAGATGGTGAAGAAATCTTGTATTAATACAGAACAGAACACCACGTAAAGATTTTGATCCATATTCATCGTAAAGGAGGAGACGATGGATTTATAGAATGCTCGATGATTATTCGGACTTCGAATTTAGAAGGTCGTGAAACATCGATTATTTGTTCATAATCTTGATTATTGGAGATTACTATATTGAATTTAAAATCAAAAAGTACGTTGGGTTTGAGAAAATTTCAGAAAAAGGCCTGAAGTACACTCATTTTCTTAAAAAGTGTCCAAAGTGAACTTTATTTCAAATAAGGATCCGAAATGGTTACTTAATCTCAAATAAGGGTATCTTCGCCGGCTGGCAATTAGACCCGTGGTAATTTTGTCAATTGCAATTTCTTTTTGTTGTCTTTTCTTTTCTTTTTTTGTGTTTCTTCATCTTCTCTTGGGCTCATCGATTTGCTGAGTTAAAAACAGTTCATAAGATAGTCATCTCACCATTCTTTGAGAGCTATATTCTCACATGTACGTTTTGTAGAAACCTGGGATTTTCCGCGAGCACTCTCCATCTTCTTTGTGTTAGCAGATAGAGGGGAGTCAATATCCTAAAATTTAATGTAAATATCCTAAAATTTAATGTAAGCAAAGTTTAGAGAATTTCAGTGAAGGCAATATCACTTCGAAGAGAGGGGAGTCAATATCACTCTAAAAAAATTTTCAATAGCTAAAGGGTTGCCTCTCTGGCACAACTACTCTACGGTTTGAGGGCTGTCAACCGTTTAGTTTGGTTCGGGTTTCCGTGATGCTCGAACCAAAGCAAAAAGACTATAGTAGCAGGATTGGCTCAACGACGAAGACAAGAAGGAAAACAAAAGGCATGAACAAATATGCAAGGAAGGCGAAATCGAACTTGCAAGAGTTGTACCGTGAGTCTGTGACAAGTTCGAAATAAGAGAATACGCACACCCGAGCACACTGTGGACACTAAGATCCGACTGAGATCGTGTTGGAGGGGATTGGTGACGAAGAGCCTCGTTGCTTGAGCAGAGGAAAGAAGCGAAGGAGATTCACGAGCTGAAAACCCTAGGTAGATGACAGGGGTTTGCGAAGAAGAAATGAGAGAGAGAGACGGTGAAGAGAGAGAGTCGGGTTTGGTGAGGGAGTCACGGTACCCACTTGCCTTCCCCTTGATCTTAGGTGCCTTGGTCGAAGAGAAGAAAACAAAAAGAAGAGAAAAAAGAAAACAAAAGAAAAATCACAATGGACGACTTGGCCCTGGCCTAATCGCAGGCCGATGAAGATTTGGCTGGCCGGTGTGTTCGGAGCCTTACCTGAGACTAAATGACCACTTCGAACCCTTATTTGAAATAAAATCTAATTTGGACACTTTTTTTTTAAAGAAAATGAGTACACTTGAGGTCCTTATTTGAAATTTTTTCTCATCAAGTTTTTGTGACTTTTTCAAATGAAAGTTTGAGAAATTACTAACCCTTCTTAGGACAAAACGGCCATGGACCGTTACATACGCACGTTGTACTCGGGCCTCTGACATGTTCTCGGAGGCCCGGGCCCGTGACCCGATGCCCCTTCCCGCGGTTATCAGACGTCGGGACATCCTTCGACGACGACGACGACGACGGCGACGACGACGAGGGTTTAGGGTTTTCGCGCATCCTTCGTTCTTGAATCGCTTCCCTCCCCATCCATGGACGCTCCCCATCCACCAAGCCACCTCAAAGCCCACAAGAAGAGCAGGAAGAACCAAACCCCTGAAATCAGTTTCCAGATCAACCTGAATTCGCTATCCAGAACCAAAGATTTGCCGGGCGCCATCGCCCTGTACGAGGAAGCCGCGACATCGCAGGGCGTCCGCTTCAACCAGCACCATTTCAATGCCCTCCTCTACATCTGCTCCAACTCCGTGGCCGACCCTTCGCTCAAAGACTCCGCCTTGGATCACGGGTTCCGGATTTACGAGCACATGGAGTCCTGCAAGATCGCCCCCAACGAAGCCACCGTCACCGCTGTCGCGAGGCTCGCCTCGGCGAGGGGGGACGGGGACCGCGCTTTCGGGTTGGTCCGGAAGATGGGGGAGCGCGGGATCGCGCCTCGGCTGCGCACGTACGATCCAGCATTGTATTGCTTTTGCGAGATGTTGGAGGCGGACAAGGCGTACGAGGTGGAGGAGCATATGCGGAGCGCGGGGCTGAGTTTGGAGGAGCCGGAGCTCTCGGCTCTGTTAAGGGTTAGCGCCGAGACGGGTAGAGAGGAGAGGGTTTATGAGTATATGCATAAGTTGAGGGATTGTGTCAGGTGCGTGAGCGAAGAGACTGCCAAGTTAATCGAGCGTTGGTTTTGCGGAGAGAAGGCTGTTGATGTTGGCAATGCGAATTACGATCGAAGTAGTGTTAAAGCCGTGGTTTTGAGGAATGGAGGAGGATTTCATGGTCTTGGGTGGATTGGGAAGGGAAACTGGGTAGTGAGAAGAGGTAATGTGGATGAAAATGGGGTTTGTAGTTGCTGTGGAGAGCAACTGGCTTGTGTGGATATTGATGATATGGAAACTGAGAGCTTTGCTAGTTCTATTGCAGCATTGGCCTTGGAAAGGGAGACAAAGGCAAATTTTAGTGAGTTTCAGGTAAGTACCTGTCTTATTGTTATCGTTTATTTCCTCAGATTGCTGTTTATTCCGGTCATTTGGAATTGTGAGCCTGGCTTTGCTTGACACTTAAAGGAATTAAAAAACGGTGCATAACGGGTGTTTTGTGCAGCAGCTACGTACATTAAATTTAGTTCACCATCACAACACTTCTACTGCTGATATGCAGCAGTGTCATAACTGCCACAGAGATCTTACCTTAATTATTCAAACTTGAGCTGAGTTCTCCTAATATGCCTATTGAAGTAAAATCCGTAATAGATTTGTGGGTTTCTGGTCTGATCTTGGTCTCAGTCTTTGCCTGATCTTGAAGGATTTGTGGGTTTTGGTTTGATCGGTGGGATCTTGGTCTCGGTTTGGCTCTGTTTTATATGCTGTGTTCTCTTCGTTGGCTGGTGGAGCAGGAAACAGAGAAAGATAGAGAGGAGAGAGAAGCAGTTGGACTTATTATTATTTTGGATTATATAAATATATCTAAATTAAGTTCACTCTGGTAGAGATTTTATATTTGTACCTGAATTAAATTCTAGTGCCACATTTTATGTCTAGCATTCAATTTATCCATGAAGAAAGTATATATATGTGCATGTAAGTAATTGACTTTTGTAGGTATTTGAAAAAATATATTTGTTAATTATAGTGCTATATTGTTAGAATTTTTCATTTTTCGGTAAAGCAATCAATTTTATAATTTTCACACTTGATGTGGGAGCATCAAAATAATTCATGCCACGATGCCCGTGACCCATTACCCGATGTCCATTACACCCCACTTCTGCGACAACCACATTGCGACCGCAACCTGCGGATTTGTCTCTTTGTTTGCTTCTCTTCGCTCACCAATTTGACAAATACAGGATTGGCTCGAAAAGCATGCTAATTACGATGCCATAGTCGATGGAGCAAACATTGGCCTCTATCAACAGAATTTTGCTGATGGTGGCTTCAGTGTTCCTCAGGTTGTTCATCAGCCTATGTGGTTTGTCGTGTTCTTGTACTTGTATGTAGATTTTCATGATATCTGACTGTGTAGCTCATTCTGTCCGACTTTGCAATAGAGCAGCTTGATGCCGTTGTGAAAGAACTGTATGGAAGCAGCAAAGGCAAATGGCCACTTGTTGTCTTGCACAATAAGCGCCTTAAAGGTCTTATGGAAAGTTCTTCCCACAAGCAGCTGCTTCAGGAGTGGATAGATAAAGGTGTTTTGTACGCTACGCCAAGTGGATCTAATGATGATTGGTAATCCTTTAACCATGACTTTAGTTTTTTTTTTTCATGGGCAACTTCAGTTATGATTTTATGTGATACTTTACAGCTTGTGGTTGTTCAGTTTTTTGCCCTTTTTATCGTTTCTTTCGGTTTCAACATTTGTGAAGGTGTTCATTTCACTTGTCCTTATCCTGGGGATTGTGCATAGCAATACCACGATGCCATTTAAATTAGAAAAATAATTATAGGTTACTTTATGCCCCAATAGTAAGAAGTTGTCTTGTAAATTATCTTTTGACACTTGGTTGCACCTTATGTGAATTTAGGTATTGGCTATATGCTGCTGTGAGGCTCAGGTGTCTTCTTGTGACGAATGATGAAATGCGAGATCACATTTTCGAACTCCTAGGAAGCAAATTTTTTTCCAAATGGAAAGAGAGACATCAGGTATTTTATAAAGTTTTTACAATTGCCTAAGCTTCTACATCCCTTTCTGAATCTTACCGAAGACCATCTTATCTAGGATGCTGATGTTTTGGAGTAATGGAATTTTCTAATAAATCTATATTTATATTAACATGAAGACTCACGAAATGGATCACAGAGCTTGACTATGTGAGCGCTTTTGAACGTATAACGAGCAGTAGTTGCTGAATGGGCAGTCAAATTGTTTAGGGTTAGAAATCTTTCATTCGACCAAAAAATGAAAAGAAAGCTTTCATGAGATTTTTGTCAGTCTCCCAGGAGTTGGGTTAACAGAGTAAAATTGGAAGGACAGATCCATCGTCACTGAACTATTTGGCTAAAACAAATGGGAACGCCTTGGTCCTCATAATTTTCACTCAAGGGCTTGAAGAGATAAACTATAATGAGCGTGTGTTTATATTCATATATTTTTGTGAAGTGGCTTTTCATATTCTCTAGACGAAACCCCCTTCTGTGATGACCTGGCTTCCTACTTACTTCATGTCGGCAGGTTCGATACACATTTGTAAAAGGTAGTCCAGTGCTTATAATGCCACTCTCATTTTCTCCAGTCATCCAGGTAATAGTGACCTAGTTTGGAGTAATTCATAGACTGGTTCTTAAATTTGGATTCTGAAGATGTTTGTCTCTGTTTTAGGAATCTGAGAAAGGGTCTTGGCATGTGCCTGTCAAGGATGACAGCAATGAGGAAATTGTGAGAACTTGGGTATGCATCACCAGGCCAAGCATCTGGGAGAGTTCCAATGGAGTTTTAGCAAGTAAAGAATCTCCTGAAGGTAGCAATAAATTCCTTAATAATCATAAATTATTAAATTCATGCAAACCAGAAACTACTGCAAAGGACAGCAATACACTAGGCAGCATCGGTTTTTCTCAGGATTGCATGAATAATACTAACACCATGACACGTAAAAGAAAAGACAGGTCTTCATCTCCTTCACCAGTGGCATCTTCCTCTTAGGCGCAGTTTTCCTAACAGCAAAATGAGCAGAGAAAATGCTTGAATCGGATTTTGTAAGTTGATGATTGAGATGCTCTGCTCAGGAATGAGTTTTGCGGAGATATCATTGTAATCCGAATAATCAATTTTGTATGCGATGATTCTCTTCTATGTTGAATCACCAGATCATTGCTGGTGTACATCTTTTCCAGTTTCTAGATCATGGCATACCGTTCTTTATTCCGTGTTAAAAACTTGCATGGAAGCAAACTGAAGAATATTCCAAGATCTGTATCTGTTCCTTGTACATCAACTTAGGTTGTACTTGCCAGTCATTTCAGGGGAACATCTATTTGTGATTCTGAAACATCCAGTGAAATTTGGATTTTCATGCTTTGAGAGGGGTATAATAAGTAGCTTTCTCATACTGCCAAAAAGCAATCCTGAAAGCATCCAAATGTCCAGTGACAGAGGTTATTAGCATTTCACTGATTCTTGTTTGAGCCAAAGCATACGTGTAGAACTAAAGAGGCTCCACTTTTCTGCTTCTTATTATACTTGGGCAGTCCATTGATCCTGTTACAAGATCTCTGGAAGAAGATAATGAATTGAAAGGAGAGTTATTTTCGCACTCCAACAAATCATGATCAGCTCGTGAATATTAGCAATAAAGAATCAGTGGATACTGGGACATTGTTCATTGTTCTTGGTGTAGACAATCAATTATCACTGCCTTAAAATGCAAAATAATTTTGCTGCAACGACACACAATATATGAAAAGGGCCCAAAAAAAATATATGGTACTGCCAATTATAAGTATGTCGGTCTCGTTCATTGTTCTTGGTGTAGACAATCAATTATCAATGCCTTAAAATGCAAAATAATTTTGCTGTAACGACACACAATATAGGAAAAGGGGCCAAAAAAAAATATATGATACTGCCAATTATAAGTATGTCGGTTCACTTGAAGACGTATTTGACGACTCCGGGAATGTGAATCTTCGTGAAGTAGTCCTCCCAATCGATGCATTTGGGGTCGAAGTAGAAGACATCCGATTCTACACCGGTCTCTCTTGCTGCTATTCGCAGCTTCTCTGTGTTCATGTCGTCGAAGCTGTGCATGATAGGCAAAGCCATCATCAAATCATTATGTTTCTTTTTTCTCTGGGTAGTTGCTTTCAATGCATTGAGGTTAGCGTATACTTACACGCCCTTGAAGAACAAGTAGGGTCTGTAGAGTTCGATGAGCCGCATCACAAACTTGATCTTCCTGTCCATATCCAGGTAAGTCCCCTGGAAGTATTGGCAGAATGCTGCATTGGCCAATTCGAGTCCCTGTTTGCAGAGATGGAATTCATTAAAGAACATAGCAGGCTGTGTTGCTTCTCCTGATTCTCATGAAATATATTGAATTTCATGGACAGTGGCCACAAGAGTGAAAAGGAAAATCGACTGGACAAACCTTGAGCAAAAGCAAGTACCGAACAGCCATGTACCGGCGGAAGCTGGCCATGCTACCCAACACTTTGACGGGACCGACTATCACGGGCTTCCCTTCCTTGTTAGTCCATGGGTGCTTGGTGAAGTACTGTAGCCCGTAATCTTTAAGATTGGCGTATCTCAGGGGGTTTCCCACCGACGATCCCATCTGATAAATCACCTCGCCGGGTTGATTCACGTGCGCCGCCATGGCCATTATGGTGGAGTTCACCACCATGTCGGCCGGTATCTGCGGAAAGTTATTCACGCTCCCCACTAGTCATTTTCTCCAAGGCCAAACATTGGAAAATAAGTTTGCCGAAATTACTGATGGATAAAAAACAAAGCAATCGCCTCTCAACTAACAAGAGAGTCGCCAGGGAGAATCGGCATTCATGCGCCGGAATCGAGCGAAGAACAACTTACAACATCGATAATTCCCTTCAAATCGCAGAGAAAGCATGTTAGCTTCCCTTTGCCATAGCCCACGGCAATGCTATCGATCGTTCTGCCGCATCAAACACCGAAAAAAAAAATCCGAGAAAAACTTAAACGATCATGTTTACTGACAGATTAGGAGTACTCAGGTTGAAAGCTTGGTGTGTTTGGGGGGTGTTGCTGCCCTTACCTCACACCTTCAACCCAACCAGGGAAAGGCTCTTTGTAGGTGCTGGTGATGATGGTGGGACGCAAGATGACCAGAGGCAAATTCTCTTTCAATTGCCCGACCAGCATCTCCCCCATTGCCTTTGTGAACACGTACGTGTTTGGCCATCCGTACCTCGCTGCCCTGCACATAAAAAAAAAACCAATCATAATCATAGGTTACTAAAATCCATTCATACCCAAGTGCTAAATCTTCACTGAACCCCGAGTCTTGATCGAGGATCGTTCTTTCGACGATCAATGTTCACATGTGAATCGTTACTAGGGTACGTGCCCGGTTCGCCAAATCAAGACCAGATCTAGCCAATGACTCGGGGTCACGACATCGTCGAAGAAGCGACGCGAGAGAAATGAACGCGAAACTGCAAGCATTTCATGCGCGGTTAGTATTGTGCAGTGCAATAAGCCAATAGAAAACGAACGATTCCGAAATTCACACGGCCGTATGTGATGAGATGTATATTACGGTAAATACGTGATCGGTCGATCACACCGGTCAATTGTGTAATCGAACGTATAGAACGTTTTGTCCCCCTCACGGGCCACAAGTACTCCGATTTCCACCGGCCCGACCCTAGAAAGAAGAAGACGAAGATTGGTAAAGAACGAAAGCTAGCAATTAAAGACGCCTTCTCTTCATCCCATGTGCGGAGCCAAAGGACCCGAGCAATGAACCTAACCAATGCAAGGAGATGTCTCTCCGAGCACGGCACTAACCTACCCTACCGACGGAATTCATCACGATGATTGTGCGGATTCACGCTCATTTAATAGCTCGACAAACACGCGCGACAATACATGCCAATTTTTATCGATGTATCCCAATTACGCTCGTCACATCGGTCCGTATGACGAGAATTGGGAGAGTCAGGCGGGCCAGGGCGTGGCGGCGTCGGAATGGTCCGCTGCATTCACGCCTGCTCGTGTTCCCGCTTTGATGTGATTAGACTACCGAACGAGGAAGAAATTATGTGGGACGGGTCCCGATGGCCATCGGGGTTTTCATTGTACGGTCATTTTCTTGCCCCTAAAAGCAATCAATGCATACATCTCACCTCTTCACGGGGCTAAATCTGGTCCCCCCATCATTAAAATTGGAGAGACCACCTTAAACGAGCATTGTCAATTTCTTCCATGTTCTCCTCCTAAAGATCTTCATGAGCACCCTTTCGAAATGTACTAGGGTACTTTCAATCAGACAATCCTCGGACCACACACGTTGGTCGGGGGACCATGAGAGCCCGACCATTTCGCCGCGGACTTAACCCTCGTGTACGTACATGATTCACGATATGTAATGGCGTCTGGTTGTACGCATGCTCTCTCATTAGTGACTTCCGCTCAACCTTATCAAAATGTCGTACTGCAAGACGTGAAAGCCCGTCTCGATCAGATAAGGTTGTAATCGAAAACTTCTTATCACTCGCGATCGGAAGGGATCACATCTTTCCCCTCCGAGATTCGATACCCGTCTGGAGCCGGGTTGGGTCACCCGCAATGGCGCTGTCCCCATTTGCCCTAGACCTACTTTAGCTGAGGTTCTCTCTGATGCCCCCACAGAACAAAGTAGATGCCTTCATAAATTCACCGTTTAATATGAAAGATAAGCTTGTGTGAATTTGGTAAAAAGTGCGTCCGGAATTTAATGTTGTCCTGGACTCCTCCGGCTTTCAAAAAATTTCGTGGATTATATATTTTTTAATGGGTAAAATAAAGTTGGGATATTTTTCTTAATTTTAAACCACAAAAAAGATTAGTATTGAGTCCGTATTCATCGGTGAAGAAATTATTTGGCATCACGTGAGCACGTACGAATTTTCAATAGCGTCCTGATGCAATCAATAACGTGCCGTGCGTGATGCAATCAATAGCGTCGGAAAAAAGTCTTACGAAGAATAAAGAATTTAAAAAATATTTTCCTGAAAATGACCGTTTATAAAAATGAAGAAACGAAAAAGAATTTTCACGTGTCCACGACGAAAATATTAAATTGTTGTGGATAACGGTACATTTTTTCATTGACAAATTATTTCGAGCGATATAAACGAACATTTTCAGAAAAAATGTTCTTTAGATCATCCGTTTTCCACGAAACGTACCGGAGTAGACAAATCCTTGTGTTTTGTTTATATTATGTCGGTCCATTAAAAAAGTAGTCGAATTCAAAGCAAAATGAATTAAAGATTGAGCTTACCTTTGAAGCCCCAAGTCCCTCATGGCCGAGGTAATTGCTTCTTCCGTGGCTCCGTCCGCTCGGAGTTCGTTCAGCTTCTCTTCCACCACTTTCCTTTCCGCGTCGATGTCGAGTCCGGCGACGCCGTTCAGGGTCTCTCCCATCTGATACGGCTTCTCTTGTATGAGACCCCCCTTTTCTCCGCATACATAGGCTGATCAACGTAATTACAAAAAAAAAAATTTACATATGATTAAAATCGCAACTCTATGCTTGCAAAAAAAAAGGATCGCGGCAAATGAAGGACGAACGAAAAAAAAAAACAAACAAGAATTCAGATTAAGAAATTGCAATATTTTCTTATTTGATTACTTAACCAGTGCCTCGAGTGCAATTTTTTTTAGCAAAATTCTATTAAAATTTTTAATTAGGGAGCCTAGTAAAAGTTGATAAGATAGTTGGTAGTGACACGGGCTGTTGGCAACCAAGTGATAAAAGCCAAGCAGGACAATAAAGATGTCAGTAAAAGGGTAAAAAAATAAGATGAGCAGGAGGAAGGTAAGTATTAATTGAAGGAGTTATTACAAAATATCAAGAAGTTCTTTTGGAAAGTCGGGGGAGACTAAGTTATTAAATTAAAGAACATAATTAATGTTTAATAAACAAATCTTATCTAATCTAATAATTAAACCCTAAAATATATGTAGGGGGTTGGATGGTTGGGGTTGAGAGCTAACCAGTTGACACGTGGACCAGCATATCTACTTTGCCACATTTCTTAGCAAAGTTGATCACATGCTTAGCCCCCAACGCGTTGATGCCCAGAGCAACATCATACCTGCACAAATTGTAAACTTTAAGGCCTAAATAAACATGAAATTGGACCAACATGCCTAAGTTGGTGGTCGTGGCCAATTTAAGTATAAGAACAACGATCGACCTCTCATCGAACTTGGTGGTCGCGGCCAAATTGACGATCGCGTCGATCTGATCCACCATCTGCTGCCTGAGGCTGGAGTCTTTGACGCCCAGATCATCGTAGATGATGTCCCCGGGGACGATGGTCACCTTTTCCGAGACGAGCGCGTTGAAATCCGACCCGCATTTTTCCTTCAGCACTCTGAACAAGTCCTTACTGATGACCTTCAAGAAGCAGCCATGAAAACAGATGAAACGGATGGATCAAGCCATGCACGAGGCACTCACCAAATTTGCACATTCCATGCAGAAAAAGGGCAAGAATGCTCACAATACCCGTATCGAGTAAATTTGCCGAAAAGGGACTGCTTAGTAAACCCCTTTCGTCATTCATCATTCTCTAAAGTTTCTTTTCTAGGGCATAATTTACTAGTGTCCCTCACTGAAACAGATAAATGAAACATGGCTCTTTTCTAAGCTTGGCCCGAAAGCATCAACCATTTTTGAGTTTCTTCCATAGTGCATAAAAGGGGAAACACCTGCAACTTTATTATTTATTTATCATTACTTTTGTCATTTTTGGAAAAAATTTGGTCCTGCCGGAGGGTGTTTTCTTGCAGAAAGGAGTGAGTTGATTGTGCATACCTCGTTCTGGAAACGGTGAGCAGCTGCTTTAGCATCTGAAGCTCTCAACAGAAGAAAAAACTTCTTCACATTTGGTTGAACCCTCAAGATCTTCTCCAGAAAGACTGCTCTCGCAGTCACACACACACAAAAGTAGTATGAGACAAGTTGAGCTCAGAGAGAGAGAGAGAGAGACAGAGAGATTACTCTTGGCAAGAAACCCAGTTGCACCAGTGACTAAAATGGTCTTGTTCTCCAGAAACTGGATCACACTTCCCATCTCCATTTCGAAGAGAGAGAGAGAGAGTGTGTGTGCCGCGGCGCGCAATGAAGCAGATGGAGAGATGAGGAATACGCTTTGAACGAGCAAGAGAGAACTCAGAAGGACAGAGTCTTTGTTAAGCCCCCCCAAGATTCTCCTCTGCAATTTTTGATGCAGCAACATAGATCTTATATGCCCTCACAACTCGGTGGAGTGCACGCAATTTGTTGGTGATTTTTTTTCTTTCGTCGTTTTGCTTTATTTTCCTCTTTCTTACGGTCATAAACACCCAAAAAACAGAAGTATTTACTTCGGATGGCTCGCATGGTAAGTGTACCCACAGTTCTTGCCCGAGATTTAAATTCGAATAATCACATATGCGCATTATTTACCGACCCTTATACTCCAATCATTATTTTATCATACATGATGGATTTACTTCATATGTTTCTCAAGAGACTAATCGTTTGTCAACCGATGTTAGATGATTACCGCAATCACCATGCACTTTTTACTATTTACATCCGTTAAATATTGCTTAATTTGTTTGTTTATTTATTTTTGGTGAGTCCACTCACCTTTTTTTTTTTTTTTTGCTAGAAGTGAGTCCCACTCACCTAAATCCACACCTATGCGACTCGCAAAACCTACCCCACTTGCACATGTACGTTTGGGAGGGTCATGTGCTCATTTGGCTTCCACGTACACACGCTCGAAAACTCTCAACAACTTAATATAATTTTGAATACCAGGTAATTAACTTTTATTAATCTGCTTCTCCTTCGGCTTATCGTGATTAATACGACCATCGCTATCGTTCCTCGGTTGGAATGCCATTTGACCTTGTCTCCTGCCTTGTGGCTCGTGACCCTTAATTTATTGTCAAACCTACATCTTAGTTAGGAGCTCATTGTTCACCTAAAAACCATGCAAATCCCAGTCTCTGGTACACCTATCACAGCCCCAATTGTTTTCTCAGATAATACTCGCGATCGATGTTCGAGCATATGTTACACTCACATACACGACACGATTGTGCAGTGTGTTCGCTGAGGGAGGGAGGTGTGTTCATGGCGTTCAGGCTTCAACTGACCGGTCATTTAGTTACTTTCTAACAAAGGTTCGGTGAATACATGTGTAAAATCTTGAAGAGGTATTGAGAGACATGACTGATGAAAGAATTATGAAAGAAAATCTCAGACTCTAAGAAACTCTAAAGATAATAGACAGAAATTTTTTTTATGATGACCAACAATAAGGGTTTTGGAAAGCAAAGTTGGTTCCAAACCCTAATAAAACTCAGACTTAGTAGTTTTATAAAAAATATCATGCAACCAACTATCATTGAGCTATAAAGTCTAAATGGTAATAGTTCCATTTCCACAACGCTAGAGATACTAAAATCGTTATCGTTTAAACAATACGAAAGTTTTTGCAAGCATACATCGAGGATTTTGCCACCATTACTTATCGATGATTTTACATTCATTATGTTTCAAAGTAAGCTAATTCATTTAATGATATAGCGGTAATAGAAAAAGAACCGGGAATGTATTTAATCCGAATTAGGGATGAATCCAATAAACCCTTCCTTGATTGGTTAATGATTATATGTTCCAATGCTTGTCACACACTCATAGCATTAAAAACAAATTCAAGCTCCGTTTGTTTCCCAAAAAACGGATAATTTAAAAAATATTTTTCTAAAAATAATCTATTGTATCGTTTTAAACAATTAATCAATGAAAAATATCTTCATTATCGATAACAATTTATGTCTAAATATTTTCGTGGATAATAAAATTATCTTTCTTTTTAATCATTTTTGTAAAAGATACAATTTATTATTTTTAGAATAATATTTTTTAAATTATTCATTTTCCGCAAAACAAATGAATCATTAATCACCATTAAGGGTTATCCTAGGGTTAGGGTTTCATCTAAAGTGACTCTTCACCAACCTACGAGAGGTTCAAACATTCGAAAAGAGTATTTGTCTGTTTTGAACAGAATACGTAAAGGACAATCAGTGGAGGGACCTTCATCGAGCCAAATTAGAGGGACGTCAATGTCTGCGTTTAACGCAAGAAAGTACGAAGTTGTTGCCCGTTGGTGGTGTCCCTTAGAAATCAAGTCGAACATATTTGCCTCATCACTCCATGCCCCAGCAAGATCGATCCAACCAAAATCGAAGAATGTGTCGAAATCATGCGAAGAATGTCGATACGTAGATCCCACCAATACGTGACCACTCGGCATTATAGATCATTGTCAAGCGACGTGGGATGGGGAATATTTTCGATACTGTTGTTAGGTTCGATTAGAGAGAATGTCCCCCATCGTTATAGATCTAATTCATCTCCAAATACGTGATGGCAGCGGACTTTATCATGCACATTTGCCACGTCATAAGTTGTTTCCGATGCACATAGTCAACATGCACAACGAATGTCGGCATACCTACGATCTTTACAGTATTATACACATCCTGTGAACTTCAATTTACAAAGATGTTTTGATATTTCGAATTTCAGGATTCTAAAATAGTCTTGCGGGAATCAAAATGCATGGCATGCATCCCACACAAACAGCCTGCAAAATAGAATCCATATACATCGGCAACAAAGTAAAGGGTTGGCCAAGCAGTCGAGCACCCGTTTGGTCACGGCAAATCCTATGTACAACTCACAGCGTCTCCAATCAACTAGAGTAGCTTTGTGGTCACGTTCACGCCCATAACCCGGGGTTGGAGTCTTACTTGACAGACGTAGGCGAGACCATTTCCATGCATCCATGTGGGTCCGTTTTGCAGATTGGACGGGCGAAATACTCGGATATCTTGTACGTCGAGTCCGAAGTCTCTCCAGTAATTGGACGGGCAAAACGGCAGCTTGTGCTCTTTAGTGCAGTCACCGCCATTTTGCTTCACGGTTGGAAGTCATCAATATTCGGTTCGGAAACTCATGTTTTGAGTGAGCTGTGAAACTGCCACTGTCCTTGTTGGGGGGAGGGGACCGGGGGGTCTCGACCTTTTCTTCTCGACCGATTCACAACGCAGTAACACCAGCCGCGACGCTGGTTAGCAGTTGGCACTGAATGAGGCAAGTACCCTGCTGTATAAGAAGCAGCTTTTTCCATGAGGAAAATTCTCTGGGAAAAGTGTAGAAATCCTAAATTTATTGCCTTTGCGTCAATTTAGTTTCAAACCTTTTATTGATGTCAATTTGGTCCTATATCTTTTTATCTAGAGCCAATTCAGTCATTCCAGCTAATTTTGGCTGGATATTGCTGACATGGATGCCGGCCGGCCTTTATGGCGCCGCCGATGTTGACGTGGACAACTTACAATAATATTTTAAATATTTTTTTGAATTAATTAATTAATTATTCGTTTCTTTTTCCTTTTTTTTTTCTTTTGTTTCTCTTTCTTCTTCTTTTCCTCCCTTCCTTCTTCCTCCAATTGGTCGTCGACGACCGGCCAGAGGTGAGAGCCGGCGAGGGTGAGCCTTGCTAGGTCGTGCCTCGACCAGCCATGGTGAGGCTTGCCCTCTCTGGCTCTCACCTCTGGCTGGTCGCTCAGGCGAGGTTAGGCCTCTTTGGCCATGGCCGTGCCGGCCACCGGAGGAAAGAGGAGAATAAAAGAAAGAAAAAATAAAGAAAATTTGAAAATTATTATAATATTTTTAAAAATATCCACGTTAGCGACAGTCGTTCCACATAGGCTAACCGACGTCCACATCAACAAAATTATACCAAAATTAGCCGGAAAAACTGAATTGGCTCTAAATCAAAAGGTTATGACTAAATTGACATCATTAAAGGGTTTAGGACTAAATTAACATCAATACAATAGGTTTAAGACTAATCTGACACTTTTCCCCAAGTTCTCCAACTTCAAAATTCTCTCTCTCTAAAAGGATCGGTGAAAACTGTTTTTTTTTTCAAAACCTCTAGAAAGTCTTAAAGTGAATTTACATATCGTCTACTAAAGGAGACGGCTGGCAGCGGGATTTAAATCTGGACATAATGTGTGGAAAGTTCGAACCATGCCAGCTAAGTCAAATCGCTTTAGCGGGTGGAAACTGTTTGGGAAATGCTTATGTAAGGGTACTATTAGTCCTTTAAAATTACGGTGCATTCACAGCCACAAATCGTAATAGACTTACAGGGAGACTTTGGAAGCTAGTTTTCTCTTCTTTTTTTTTATTCCTGCTTAGATGCTATGGAAAGTCAGCCTGCAAGATCGGGCCAATGCGGTTGAATATCGATCCAGTTTGTCGGTTCAGTAGTTGAACATTGGTAGGGCCGATTTGATCCGGGTTTGTACCGATTCGAGTCTTAGTGAATAATCGGACCCGACTCAGGGCAGGTTTCTCATTGAACTGGCCGGACCAAATTTGAAAACATTGGTTGAAATCAACCGTAAAACTTCGCGAAGTAATCTTTTATATCGTATAACGTTAAAGATGTTCTGTCTTCAACAAGTGCAAGATATTTTAAGCTGCAATTCTTTCTAATTTTACGAATTCTAACCTTTTCAATCTAAGTAAAGGAAAAATATTCTAAAATGTAATTTTCATTTTACGATGTTACGAAGTTTCATTGTAATAAAAGTGTGAGATGCTGTACAACATGTTCAACTGGCTACATTGTAAATTAACGAAGATTTTTTTGCTGGGCATATGCCGGAGTTGCATCTCATAGATGTGCTTCATAGGAAGGGTTCAATGGGGCTACTTTAGTTGGACAATGGAGAAGTCTTTTGTTTTTACTTTACTGTTGAATGATCAAATGCATTAAGGAGTAGATAGACAGCCACATCTTTCATCCTTCTTAAAAGAAAATATTTAGAAGGAGACTAGCTTCAACAGTCTCTACACCTAGACGACATAAACAAAAAGGGTATCACAATTTTGCTTATTTTTCGTATTTCTTATGGGCCCTCTTGTTTTGGTGTCAATCTACATTTGGTGAGTGAAAGATGTTCTTTTGCAAGTCCTCAAGTGAGCAATTCAAAGACAACCCAAGTGGAAGACTTAGTTTCCAACCAAAAGGCAACACAAATCGATCCTTTCGAGTTGTTTCTGTGATGTAGATAGGGGG